GTGTGTTTGCGCAGCTTGAGGCCTTACTTAAGGTTTAGGGTCTACGTCCCTTTGGGGGCCTCTGCCGGGAATATGTAGGGGTGAAAGGTACAGGGGCATTGAGTTGCCCGGTAGTGTGCAACATCTCGTTTTGGCAGGTTGGAGAGAGACTAGGAAATTTTCCAAATTGTTCAAGTTTGCATCGTGCGAAGATGTCTGAAAGGAGGCTTCTATGGCAAGCCAAGAGAATTAGCCAAGAATATGGAAGCCAACATGCTACCCAGTGCAGTGAGGTTTCGCTGCCAACGGTACGTTTACGCCAGGTCCCGAGATGGCCTGTTGGTGTCTTCAATTTTGGTCCATTGAGTGATTTGGATGAAGAATAGGCCAGCTCACAAGTCTTGTTTCAATAGAGGAGCCTTTTTGACAGACATTGGTGCAGGTTACAAGGTGCAAAAAAGGATAGTCTCTCCACATCTTCATTTGCTGCTGAGATGAATGGTCGAGCAACCGATAGGCAGTAGTTGTGCAAAGGTTCACCTGGGTTCTTGCTTACTTGAAGTTTGAGATCGGGTATATAGCCAAGCCGGTTGGAAGATTGGTGAAGGCTCGAGTATGTGTCATTCTTCAGAATGCTCCATCCGTACTTGGCCATGATGATTCCTTCTCAGGATCCTGACAATGATGGCTTCACGCAGCACGACCCCAGCTCGAGAAGCTTTGCTCATGTTCATAAATAGGTGTATGTTTCCGCTTGATATGAAGGCTGTTAAGCTCTGTTTGAGCGTGCTTTTCCTGAATATACTGCTGGCAAGGTTTGCGCAAGGGCCATGCAGCCTTCGATACCCTGCTGGCAGAAGGAGGGCTCAGGCCAGAGTTCAGGGACGCGATTACGATGATTGCTTAGGAGGAAAAGCAAAACTTCCACCTGCAGGACAAAGGGTGCCTCGCCGCAAGGCTTCAAGTCCGTGGAAGAGATGTACAGGAGTTTCTGAGGGCGTGAAGAGACAGACCTCAAAGGGAATCTCTGAGCCTGGCTTCTCTTTTTCATCATACCTTGGATTCTGTCATTTAGTGCGGCTTTCAAACTTGGCATGAGGCGCTGAGCGATAAGACTAGCAGATGGCAGCTTAGACTGATACTGCACCCCTGTGCAGGAGTTCGGGACCGAATCAGATTCCCTTTGAAGTGGACTCATGGTCCCAGGCCCTTACAGAAGAGTTTAGCACACTCTTTTTCTTGTACCAGTTCGCCATCTACGCGGTGTGCGTTCCTTGCCTGGATTTCTATGAAGCTGCCCTCTCCTGTCCCGCTTCTCCCGGGCTTTAGACAGTCATATAGGGAGGTGCTGGTAGCAGTGATTCTCACAAGATTTTAGACATTGGGGTCATAAGTAGCAACATGTGGGTTGTTGCTACACTTGTCCCATTCCTAACCCCACAGACATTTACCCGTGAGCTTCCAAGCTTTCCTCAAAGGTGTGGTTCTCTTACTGGCACTACACGATCATCGCCGTGACCATAGCGGTCACCTCTGGGTTCTTCAACACCTCCGTCAGATTGGCAAGTCAGAAGTCCATCAAATCCATGATGGAACCTTGGCTTCCAATACTTTTTCCTGCTTTGAATGCTTTGGTTTAGGTTCAAGGTGGGCCCAGATGTACTGGCCGTTTAGAGCAGTGCTAAAGACATTGTGTCATTTGGGCCTTCAATCTCCACTTGGCTTGCGGAGCTACATGTTCAACGTACTTGATACTTCACGAAACCTGGCTCTATGAAATTTCAATCTTCTACGTGTTGAGGAGTTCATGAAACCTCCGCTCGCTGCAGGAACAGCATCTGACTGCCCACGTGCTCCGAGACGGTCGTGTGGTTGAGGTCGGGGGCTCAGGGCGGGTTATAGTTGCCTTTATCGGTGTTTCTCACAACGATGGGCCCATTTGTGGCGTGGATAACAGGTTAGGGTAATGCTCGGAAATGGCCCGTAAAAATCTCTCCTTTGTTTTTGAACCCAAGTTGTCCGTTTACCGCTTAACCTTGAATTCTAATTCGGAAGGTCGATGCCAATGAGCTGGTGCCTGGCGACATCATCAAAGTCCAGCCTGGTCCAGTGCGAAGCCAAGTCAATCACGTTACCTTCTTTACTCGTCACCATTACAGTACTTCTTCCTCGTCACCATCGTCATAGTCATAACCATGATGATGATGAGGATGATGATGATGATGACGACGAGGATGATGATGATGATGATGATGATGGTCATCATCATCATCATCATCATCATAATGGTAAACGACGGCAACAATAACAGCGAAGTACAGTGCTGGTAAGATCACAAACAACTTGCGTAGGATTACCACAGCCGTATCGGTGAATGCTTTTGCAATAATGTATGGAAGCACAACCGTAAAAACAAGACTCCTACCCCTGGGCTCCCGAGCAGGGCCTTGCTGAGGTACCGTGTGACCTGCTGTTGCTCCGGGGTGCAGCCGTCTGTGACGAGTCCACGCTCACGGGGGAATCCATGCCTGTGCAGAGACTGGCACCAGCTCCTCGGCCCTGGAGGTTCTTATGAGGATTTCTGAGACCAACAGGCTCCTGGTGGACCTGAATTGTTGCATGCAAGCGAAAAAAGGTTGTTGACATGGACCCCCCCACGTGCACACAACCCATAACCTACGTGCAATTCAGATCACCTATATTGAAAACTATGAGGTCGAGCGGCTGCCAGATGACCCGTGGCTTGTCAGAAGCAGAACCCTGGCCCCGAAGCAAACCAAATCATGGAGAATTGTGGGATGGTCTCCCGACTTTAGGAGGTGACTTTGGTGGAATTGCCAGGTTCATGGAGGACTGCCACAGTAGGGATGTTAGTTCTCCAGCCCAGCTTGCCTCCTTTTCCAGAAGTCATAGTGCCGTCCCTGCTCTAGCAAACCCGTTAAGGCCAGGCTTCCGATTTGCAGCGAAGCATTCGCTTGTCGCCGCAGCCTCAGGCAGTATTTTTCCAAGCTTGCTGACTTTGGTGAGACCAGGTATTATTCAATCCGCAGAGTTTTGTACGCCTCTTGATGTCTCTCTGGCGCTCCAAGATTGCGAGTCCATTTTCTGGTTCTGAAGTGTGACTGCTACGCAACCAATTTGGCGTGACCATTGACGCCGCTACAGTACCAGCTTTTTTCGTTGACCCTGAAAGCTGCACCCATCCATGATCTAAGTCCCATGCAGACAAGACGAACTTGGCTTCCTTCATGAGCACAAAGGTACGGATGAAGGTTGAATCCTCGCGCAGCAAGCCCTGAACCCCAAAACCTGAACCTGAAACGCGAAGCCCCGCAATCTTGTCCGAAGCCCTAGAACCCAGGCAGGAACCTCAGTGCTACAAGTGGTCGATGAGGCAACCTGGGCACTGGCAACCCACACAGGCATTCACACTCAGCACCTCGGAGTCATCTAAAAATAGGCAAGATTTCAAGCTTTCAGGAGTAGTGATGGCAAAGCTTACGGACGGACTTAAGGAACATGAGAATCATCAATCTGGGTTGTATGTGAGCGATCAATATTGAGATCCCTTGTTCAGAGGGAGGATAGGGAGGACAATCAGACCATCCGCACTGTCCCACGATGCCAGACTTTTGCTTAGTTGTGCAGCAGCCAGCTTCACGAAAACCTGGCAAGGATTCTTCACAGCAAATCACATGAATCTTGTGTGCAAAGGGTCACTGGAACAAAATTCAGGAAGGGACAGCTGCTTCTTCTCATCTTGTACCCGCCCAAGCTGGTGTTCAAGTACGATGAGCAGCTAAGCGTGCCTGTGTGGCATTAGCAAGCGCTTGTGTGCTCTATACCTTGGTATACTGCAGGCCACCACATGGGAGCAGTTTTTCTTGCGATCCCTGACACGAGGTCGTGTTCTTCTTGCTCATCATCTATGCCATTGGCCTTGTGATCAAGCTGATGAAAGTTATGTACGACCGCTACGCAGTGCAGCAGCCGCTTGGCGGACATTCACGTAGCCAGATGCAGATAGCCCTTCGTGCGACGCATTGCGACGCTGTTTTCAAAAGCCTCGCGAGGAAACTGCCGCTGACAGCCACTTGGGCCAGCGGAATCTTCACTGCCTCCTGTGTGCTGCCCACCATGCTGCACATCGTGCTCTCTGTGGGCCAGGAGGGGAGAGTGAGAAAAAGGTCTTCCTGACTTAGACTTTTGGGTGCGCACCCCATCTTCCTATTGCGGGTCGTATTCTTCAGGGCTTAGTAGCGGAAATCACTTCTGCAGCAATCATGGTGTTGCAGGTCATCTCGGCGAAGAGGCTGAAGGCGCCAGCTGACATACTGTCAACGCTTCTCTTGCTAGGGGAACAATGCGGGTGGACATTGCTTTTTCATTTGTGTGATTGGGTAAGCAGGTTCCTACTGTCGCACTAGTATCATGCTATATCCATGCCTCTTTATTGCCAACATGAGAAACATTGGTTGTGGCTGATTTGTCTCCTTTGGGCAAGCGCGGGCTTCGCCATATGCTGCACTGTTCTGGCAAGGAGAAGACCTGCAGCATTTTCTGCGTTGTGCCCAAGCGGATCGCTTTGGCTGGAAAGGCGCTCCCAGATGCAAGCCCACTCCCTCTTTGCCCAGCTTCCACTGGACTTCTTTCCCTCCCTCACTCCCGACCTAGCACAGGTTCGCGTTGCCTGCTTCGATAAGACGGGCACGCTAACTACCAGCGGTCAGGTCCTCAGCAACGGAGAAGAAATGGTAGAAGTAGTTGTATCTTCAGAAGCTGATGATCCACACGCAGGATCTAGATCTTACAAGAATCCTGCTCCTGAAATTGCTCTAAACCTTGCCTCTCAGCTACGATCCAATTTCTAGGCAGTACAAGAAGGAGTTGCAGACCTCTAAGCTGGGTGTGCCTGAAGAAGCGCTATTCTGAAATGCGCATGTTTGGGATCTGAGGCCTGGAGTTCTTTGGAGTGCACTGCGTGGAGATAGAGGCTGCCAACGGAGGCGCAGGCAGCAAATCAACGTGATCGAGTCATCCGCTAAAAGGTTTAGCTAGAAGATATCATCGCTGCAGTCCCAGACGCCATAAAAACGGACCTTTTCAAGTAGGCCGAGAGCAGCTTTTAGGCCGAGAGGTTGGGGCTTAAGGCTTTAGGGCTGGCAGCAGTTGCAAGGAAGGCTTACTCCTCCTCCCCCTCTTGGCGCCCTTCAGCAACGCCAGCCTCCTGATGCCAGGTGCTAAGAGCCCTTTCTCCTCCCCGCGGCTGGGTGTCTCCTCGGCCCCACAGTTGGCGGCCGAACCGCAGAAGTCGAACTGGGTCACTTGCGCCTGCATCAGAGGCAGTTTAGGGACATAAGGGTATATAGGGGTAATACGGGGATAGGGAGAGATCACATGGAGACTTAGTCTGACTACATAGGGTTTCGGGTTATATAGGGGCTACATAGGGATATAGAGGGTGGGCAAATGGAACTCAAGTGGAAGATGAAATATCAATTACTATATATAGGGATTATACAGAAGGAGTAATGGAGAATCAAATGGAATGTTCGGGCGACGCCACGATTTGTGGTGGACAGCTTAGGCTTCCAAATTCGGGGTCCTCTTCTAGGGGCTTGTGGAGTAGATGTCAGTACAGCAGCGTTGAGCAGTCATTGCTTTCCGAATTGGTTTAAGAAGCAGGGTTTTGAGTGTTTTGATCTGGGGATGAAGACCGTGAAGATCTAGGGCTGAGACTTCAGGTCATGGGGTAGCAGCGACGTGAATGGACTTGATGTTGAGGGGGAGCACAAGCATTGTTCACACCACAGAGTTCTTGAACGAGTTGATCAGGACTACATAGGTTCTTTTGTCCAAGTCGTGCCATGAGACAGCTTCTGAAGGTCCTGAAAGTGGTTAGTTAGCCCAGGCACAAACAATGCAGCGTTTATGAGGTACGACCCTCGCAGAGGTCAATGTATGACACCTCGCTCCTCGGTTGTCCGCTGAGGACCTTGACATCCTGTGTGGCCTGGCAAGCGCGCATTCACTTTCGCCCTTCTTGCAAAGCGAAACAGGCGCCGGCTCCTTTTTTTGTGCACACCGCGGGACTGCATGGCTTGCTCGTGGCTAGGTGGTATCGAAGGTTTAGCATGTCAAGCAAGCAAGAAGTGAGTGGAACATGTCCCTGCTACCCACAAGAACTTGTTTGGATACTGCCCTCAGAAGCTTAAACTTTGATCGAGTCATCTTCCACTGCCTGGCAGGGGTCGTTGGCAATGCTGTCGAGGTGATCCTTGTCCCAGATAGCAAAAGTTTACGGGTAGTGACAGGATGTAGGACGTAGCAGAGGGGATCAAACTAAAACAGTTTGCAGCTGCACTCCTGATCCTCATCTTCAGGAGAGAGCAGGCCTCAAAGACCAAGGAATGCATTGATACTTCTGTCCAGACATGCGAGTTGTCTACGAATCAGTTCAAACAAGTTCCAGGGATGTCGGTAGACTGTTTCCATGTCAGCCGACACGTGATTGCACAAGCTTGGTGCAGCCAAGGAACATGTTCAAAGCATCCAGATGGTCGCTTGTTTCGCAGAGTGACGTGCGAAGTCCACCAGACTCTGCTTATCCGGAGCACCGTCTGGAAATCCTGTGTCTCGGCAGAGCACATTTGCAACGCATCTGTGTCGGAGAGATTAGATAGAGTTGCCTTTGTTTTTGCAAGGAAGCGCTTTGACTTTTCCCACAGCACCATGACCATGCGGCCTGGCAGATTCAACAGATGTTGAGTTGAATCTCCTGCAACACGTTGTGGAGGCACTATCCCTACAATCTTGGATCTTCAAAGGTCACGAGCACGATCTGTAGCTGCCATCTACCCCAGAAGATCTCTCAGCTTTGCCTAGGAGCGCGGTTGTCAAGCATCTCCCAAGTGGAGATCAAGGCCACTGGCACATAACAGCACTGTGCTGCTCCTGCTGAATTGTCTTCATGTTCCACATTTCTCGACGAAGTAGAATTCGGCTGTGACCCTGTCAGGCATCTACTGCAAGGGCAGCTTTGAGCACATCCTGCGCAAGTGTCGCCCCGGTTCGGTGCCTGAGAACTTTGTGCAGGTGCCTTGCAACACTGTCTAAGGTCTTGGGCCATGTGGATGCAGAGCTATAGTACTATGATGCTTGAACGTGTTGTTGCCATGCATGCAGATAAGCGGAGGCAACTGCTCACAGCGCCTGCATATGCAAGAAGATGTTGAAGCTATTTGTTTCTGCTGACAGTGGGAGGTGGCAGAAGCACACGCCTTTGCCGGCATGTATGCCGTTTGAACGCAATCATCAGCCTGGGTCAGGGCGTCAGGTTTATAAGGCGTAACCGAGAGAGCGCAACTGGACGCACCTTGTGTCGCATGAAGACATCTCGTCAACTCTCGTGGTTTAGGCCCGCCAGCAAGGAGTTGTCTTGTTAGTCCAGTGCAGCGTATCGCCAGTGCATTGCATGCTTGGCGCCTCTACCCTACCGCAGACAAACATGGTAGACATGATCCATGCACATGACATGAGCATTTCTGAGCCGATTCACTGGTTACGCCTTGCGTGTACGTGCTTCTTTACCAAGATCCTTCCCCCCACAGTGACTCAACCTTCCTCTCCTGTTATAGGATAGGCGGTTTATTCATGCGAAGGGATTCTTCTTTGTTCCCGCAGCCCTAAAACTAACCATCCAGCAACACAATCCTGTTCCAAAGTCCTTAGCCGTTTCAGTATTCAGATAGGGTTTCCAGAGCAGGGGGTCCCTGTCAAGAGCCCAATACTCTAAGCCATGTAAAAGGACTTCCAAAACAGGGGCCCTAGTTTCCTGAAGCATCCAGAAACCCAAATACCTGCACCAGGGCTAAGTTTGCCTGGCAAAAAGCCCAGGTCCTTGGATTGGCCGCCCGGCCGCTGCAAGCGGGAGAGTCTGTGCCTTCGTGAATAATTACTTTACCAGGGAAGGGTCCTCTCACTGCTGGCCTCGGCGGATTTTCAATGTTAAGTGTCCAGGTTCGCGAAGGCTGTTGACAGGGTTGAGGGTTCATGGATGCCTTGAGTCACACAATCAGATGTGAGCGAAGCTGGACGGCATGTCGACCTGGGTGAGAGGACAACTTGAAGTCAGGCTCAGGATGGGCACTAGGACCACTAGGAGAATGCACTTAGTTCTGAACATCATAAGGTGCAAACACGCGCGGACGCCGAGAAGGACCTGACTTTGCTAGGCCTGGATGGGAACTCAATTAATCAATCAGATGCCTTTCGATCGCATCCTGGCTACAGTACTTGTAAAAAGCTTGCGGGCTCGGAGGCTCGGGTGTTGACCAGCAACGTTGACATTGCTGCATATGCTGATGCAGGGAATGTTCCTCCATATGAGCCGCATGGAAAGATCTCCATAAGATCTCCCCCGTTTTCAATTTTGTTCCTTGACGCGCACAAAAAGCATTTCCGTTTGTGAGGTCTCAGCTCTCACCTATAATGCTCAGACGTACCCGGATTCTGATTGCAGGCTGCCTCTTGTTCAAGAACCCTCCTCGGCCGGACACGGCGGAGACCATTGAGCGACTCCGCGCAGGCGATGTGCGGAGTGTGACTTGGAAGCGCGATATCCAAGTGCGGGAATGAAGAAGTAGCATTTGCAGGAGCTGTGCCAGAAAGCAAGTACCAGATTGGGAGCAACTCACAGTGCAACTGCAGCTGGAGCTGTGCTAGGGAAAGGAAATGTTGCTGCGGGGTTCAACAATTTCATCCTACATCATTGTTTTTTCTAGCCGCGGGGAAACATTTTTGAGTTGAGCAAGGTCATGATCACCGGCGATGCTGCTGGCACAGCTGTGTCCATTGCCAAGGAGACCCCACCCAAACCTAGCAAACAGCTTAGCAATCAATCTGATGCTCTGGAAGCAGACGCCGCGCTCCAGTTTTTCACTCCCGCTTGTCAGGAGACAGCGCAAAGTGGTTGCTTTAAGGTCTATAGGAATGCAGATGAAACCGCAAGAAGACTTTGCACGTGAATTGAGGAATTTGCCTTAACCACGCATTTTGGGTCATGAAGTCTGATCAGTTTGTTCCCAACCTCGCTGTGGGGTTGTTAGATTTTAAAGTAGATGTTGTCCTCGTCCGACTGGAAGCTGACTTTCGTGACCA